CTCGACTTGTACGTGTGCCAGACATACGTTCGGGCTTACGAAATTTGAGCCATAGTTTTCCTTGGGTCAGTAAATCTAGAATTACCTCAGGCTGATATTAGGAATTTTTGATCAATATTTCGTACCCTGATTTACATATAGATGCGAATGCACGCACACATGAGCAAAAACTCAAGAATAAATATTTAGATTAGTATGAGAAAATAGTGACCAAAACATTATATATAAATATATAGTTCAGTTTTTCTGTGGGTTTAAAAAGCGTGTAATGTATAGCCGGCTGAACCGCTTGACTTAGTCTTTTCTTTAAGTCTTTGCAAGAATCGGTTACAGCTCTAGCAATGTCTTTTCTATGTCGAATAAAAACTTTGCCAAATTTCAACTAAAACGATGGAGGATGTCTCAGGCACTATTTGAACCAGAGCCAGAATGGCAATAAGCCGTTGATAAATTTCTTCATCAAGAGCTTTCACGCGAAGTAGAAGTCACTTAAATGCTACTATATCCATTATTATTAATGCTGTTTTTTTTATTCTTAAGTTAAAACAATAAGAAAATTATATCTTATTACAAACCAGCATCAAATCGGACTGAAGCCTGGTAAATTCGAAATACAGAGGACAATTAAAAACCGAATTACATCTACCTCGAATTCAGTTTAATCAAACTTAAATCTTGCATTCTAACGGAAAACTTTAGTTGCCACCATGCTGATAGGCTTCATCTTAACTCACTATGACTTTAGGTAAGAATGTGTCATAGTACCAACTTCTTAACATTACCGTTTTGTCTAATTGCCAAATAATCATCTATAAATCTCTCTGATGTCAATCTTACCTCTTCCACTAAGGGATCCTCCAATTGTGACACACAATTATGATCAAAAACGTGAATTAAGCAAGACTCTATTGCAAATCCCTGCATCCGTCCACAAGATCTATCACTAAGAGTGTTGCCCGTATATTGGTTACGTATTCTGCTCAGGCTTACTCTTTCAACAATATCTGGGAGGCTTCTAAGTCGAATTTTAGAGCTTTAATAGCTCCCCGAACGGGAATTGTACTGAATGAAAATACCACATAAAAGCGCACGAAAATGTCATCCTTATTAGTTATTTGCTGATCTTAAAATTAAATAACTGCATATGAATACTTAGTCTCTGGGATTGATTAAAAATAATGTCGGATTCATATGAAATAACAGTTTAGAAAGATAATACTTGAGAACTGGTAAAAACTGAAAGCTTCTCCCATATCTTGACTTTGACTTTGTACGTGCTCTCTAAAAATATAAAAAAATTAGTAAAGAAGTGGGTAAGTAAAAAGGTTTGCAGAGAGACTATGACACTTTCTTAAGCTATATCCACTCTTAAAGAGAAAGTTTACCAATTCTCCAGATCAGGCTGCTATAGAATAATGTGCTCATGCAGTTGTTTGTATGTTGGAGATACTTGTTGCCCCATTGTGCATTATAGAGCAAGATCATGAGTAAGTGAATGCAACGGAAATAACGCATGAGATAAAATATCCTTGAGCTTGTTGTTTTGCTGATTATAGCACGTTTGCAGCTACGTGTAACAATAGAGAGGCCATTAAAATCAACCGATTAAGCAATACCGATAAGAAGTCAACTAATAACTGCCTTTTTTCGTTTATAAGTAGGTTTTAAGACTACAAATATAGCCTATATATTAGATGTATTCACGCTGTAGATAGAGGAAATATTTATACCTAATTAATATAATTGAGAATATGAAGTGTTCTGAGCTGCCTGAATAGATGATTCGATTGAAATTTTACCTTGTGGTTCATGGTTGCACTTCCTATAAGTCATAATTCTCTTGCATAAACATTATCCGCTTCACCAGAGGTGCATAAAGGATTACGCAGAGTTATGGCTTAAAAAAGTCATTAATTCTAGGCGGCTGAGTGCAGACGTTGCGTTTTATTTTAATTATTTTGCGCTATCATTGCTGTTCTTATGCATATGCATGTTCATGATTATACATGAGTAAACAAAAATGTGCATAGCACATGTTTATAGAATAAAGTATGACTTTAAATAACCAAATCACTCTATATCTTATTAAACGTATATATTCACATGTGTAGATGAACCGATTAGTTTTATTTACTCATTAGCCTTAATTAGTTGGAAGAATGATACAGTATTCTGATGGTGTCCGTCTGATTATGAGCATTAATTAAATTTAATGCCTCTTTCAAAAATAAATTGCAGAATTGAACAAATTTCTCGGGGTCACCCGAATGAGTAGTTTTTACTTTTTCACTCCAACTAATGGGCGACTTAAGGCCGGTTAGATCTGTAATTTGTAAATATGAACCATCCCTTACTTCAATTTAGAAATTAATGGTAACTTTATCATTGTTTCTATTTGACATATCTTCTCTTTTCTGGACGCAAGGACAATAGCCTTTGTTTGACGAACGCATATCTTCCAGACATAAATGTCAACCATCTGGCGCCTGCCTCATCCGGCGACAGTTCTAACCACCATCAGCCGAAATATGATCAATCGGCCCACTACCAACGACACCAACCAGAGTGTGCTCAAGATCAAAATGAAATGCAGCTCCGTTCGGATGGTCAGATTGAATGCTCTCCAATCTGTTCAGTCATCGACAGCCCGCTTGCTGCATGCCCTTCGGAAGATGAAGTAGATCTGTTGACACGAGATCCAGACAAGCTCAGTGGACAGACATGCCATCGGAAGAAGAAGGAGGATAGAGCTGGAGGCCTTTATTGCCTCAAAGAAGTAGACACTGGCGTGCATTTAGTCAAGCTTCGGCTGCCCTGGCCGACAGGAAACTGGCTTGAGCCGGCAGCCGAACCGGGCACCCCTTCTCTGGGCTGCATGGGAAAAGCAGAACTGAGAGACTATAGGAGCCCAGGTCACGTGGATAAGGACAAGTTGGTGGAGAAATGGAGAGAGAGACCAGAAAAAACGCCCAATGAGTGCCTTAATTCGATGAACAAGCAAACAGAAGGATTGGAGCCGACCAGTAGGCAAAGTTCCCACTTTACTAGTATTTCAATTGATATGACCTTGGGGTTATATAAGATATGATATCAGATGTATTCACCCAATTTCGTTAAAGTTGATGAAGAAGAATTTTCCAACAATGATATGAGATAAGCTGACGTTTCCATTGAATTTTGCATAGCCTTGTTTTCTCAGAAGAGATGAACGAATAAGTCAAATAATTATCTTAATTGAACTATGTACTCATGAATTTATTGTGCTCCAGCCAAAAGCTTGGGCTGGTTCATCCGGAATGGAGGGAGGATAAAATTCGATTTGTGACAATCACTATGATTGTGGCAAATGGAAAAGCTTTTGATACCCTCGTCCGACTCATATATCGTTTATACGAGTAGCATTAGATGAGATATCATCTCAAAAAAAAAGTTAGGGCAAAAATAGCTTCCACCGATAATCCACCGATAAGCCTAGATTTGAGCTCAAGGATATATAGTTAAATTATGTTGCCTGATATTTTCCTCATTGTCCACTGATGGCGATAAG